CTTCCCAGTACATGCAGCTCTGTGGGTGACTTCCCACTTTCAGGTCTCACCCTTTTTCTGTTGCAAATCCAAATATGCTGAATAGCCAAATTGCAACCAGATCTGTTTATGGTTGTTTTACTGTGAAAGTTATAATTAGATGCTACTAGGTCTTAAACAAGGATGAAAATGTAAAATATGTTGTTGCACTGCAATATTTGAGTGTCTAGGTTTGTGCTCATCTGCTGTTTTCAGATTTGCTCATCAAAAACCGATATACTGTATTGTATCTTAGTTTTCATGACCTTATCTTGAAGTATCCAGTATTTCTTGCTGTGATTGAATTTTGTGTCGAATTAGTTTCTGCTGTTCAATATTCTGTAAACTTTGAATGTAAAGATTTTTAATTAAAAAGGGAATCAATCAAAAATGGCTTCATTTAATTTCTAAAGCATTTGTGTGTCAAATTACAATTAAATAGTTTTTTTTTTCAGGTAATACAGACTCTACTTGTCCCAAATAAACATTTATCACATTCAAACATGTAAAGTGTTTCACTCTTTAATCAAAATAAATTAAAATACATCAATAACCTCATTTTAAAACTATGAAAACAGTGTTTTTGTTTTATTGATATGAACAAAACATTCCTGGAAAACTAAACTTTCTGGTCATTTTCTCAAGATCCCAACGTTTAACCTTCTTGCCTTCAAGCAAAGAAAACAAAACATTTTATTAACACCATTTGCAATTTATTTTCCATTTAACGTAGTTTACCAGCTTATATTTTAGAAAGCATTATGCAAAGAGATGTTATTTTATTTCTGTCAGTAATGAAGGCCTTCTTTACTTTTTTAGTTATGGTAACGAACAAGATGCAGAGATCCCCACAGACGCTGTGTGATGATGCCACTGAGTCACTGAACTCAAACTGTTTGGAGGTACTTACCTGGTTTGCCATGAAATTCACTTGAAGAACGGCTTTTTAAAGATTAGTTTANACAATTCAAAACATATAAACAATTGATATAAAACAAGTGTCAGTTAAAAATGTATTTGTAATGTAAAAATTACTGTCTGCTTAAAATCACTAAATTAGGAGCTTGTTAACTTGAATTTTTCCTTCATCAGACACAGCACATAAAATGTTGTTAAAACCCCACAGCTGAATAAAATCCTCCATGTTCTGTGTGGCTCAAAGTAAAACTCCAGCCTTATTCTGGCTTTAACCTTCCACAGAGCCACGGCATCAAGGTGAGCTCCCTCCTGCAGTCTGCCATCTTTGCTTCACTGAAGAAACAAGCCAAAGGCTCTATTTTGGCAAACTCCTATAAAAAGAATGGCGCGGAAAAAGCCCTGAAGGATCAGAAGTTGATCGAGGCGACGTGTGTGTCAAGTTTTTGGAGACATTAAATTGTTACAGTGGGACATCTATAATTGATAGTGGGACACTATTTTTTTGCAGAAAAAACAAAGTCACAAATTAGCAAAAAAGTATTTATAACTTTGTCGAAATCTTAAGAAGACAAAATAACGTGTTATTTTGCAAACTTCACTCCGGTCAGCAAGGAATAATCAATGGATCATTATTTATACCTAAAACTAATACGTTCGTGGTGATTTAATGAATTTAGCATTAATCAGTTAATAAATTTAAATAATAATTCTCGCCATGATCACTGAGTCTGGGAGCGGCCATTTTTGCACAAATATAGTAACCCCTCCCTCCTGCCATCTTCCTGCAGTGACGTCACGGTGCGGTAAGCCTAGCTTCATCGTGTAATGGGGACCAGCAGTCCCATTACACCATGAAATATGATTATTGATTTAGTGTTATGTAATATTAAGTTGGAACAAATATTTGGGTTGTTTGAGTTCTTTATTGTATTTTTGTTTTTGGCATGCATCCTTGTGAGGCAGGAGGACTGGCCCTCCTGCCTGTGGAAGGAAGTGTAAACATTAATGTCAATAATTTTTCCTTAGTTTCTAGTCATGTTAAGTCAAAGTACCAACCTTTTCCTGGTCTGGCTCCTCAGCAGGGCCTAACAGAAAAAGGTAGAAATGCTCCAGGTGCTGCAATGTACTTGGAGCAAACCAAAATGATCAGGAGGGTAGTTTTGGGTGAGTTTTGCTAAGTTTGATGGAGTTTTTGTGATTTACTTTATATTTATTTAATTGTATTGATTTGTGTTATTGTAATTATTACTTTGGGTGTTTAGTTTATTGTGTGGTTTAGGTTTGTATGTGTATTAATATTGCTACTTTTTCTTAATAATCCCTTTTTATGGTTCCTTCCTTCATGTTAACTGAATAGAGTTTGGTTTAACATGCTGTTTGTTCTTTTTAGTGTGAAAAGGTGTTGTTGTGCACAAGCTGGAGTTCAATAAAGCCACCAAAACATCAGTTTTATCTTTTCTCTCCATTAAACATTGGGCCTCCGTCGGTCAAACTGACACTTGGATAATAGCACGTTGGGACAAACATCAGATGCCGCACTGGGACTCGATCAACAGCCGATACGCCACCGTAACGTCACAAATCGGTTCTTTGTTCTTTGACAAACATGGATGTCTCCAGTTAAGCACATTAGAATGAAATTACTCTTGAACAGTATGTAATAATTTCCTATTGAAAGTACTTTCGGAAATTGAATTCTGAATATGACCAGACCTTTCCTTTAAACTGTAGAGGCAGCACACACATATCATGTGCCTTTGGCAGAATTCAAATGAGCGATTTTAAACAAGATTAATTCTAAGATTACTGTGAGATTAATTTAACTTAATTCACCAATAAAAATATAAAAAAATCTGACTATAATATTGCCTCTTTCCCTTTAGAACCACCTACTGATGCATTAATTGGCACTTGTCCTTTAGGGAATGTTTCCATCAACTTTGTGCTTCCTGAGAGTGAAATATATTTTGGTAGAATGTGAAACTTGTTGCTGCAATTTGTCAAAATGTGAAAAGTTTAATTGGTAGGCTACATATGTGAATCAGTTTACTAACGTGGATGTAATGTGCCTACCTGAAAATACCTTAACTGCCCAGCGAACCTGCATCTCCACAGTTGGCATAATTGGTCCCTTTGTTTGGAACAGACCCATGATGGCCAGCGTGGGATGTTGTAGAGACGGAGGAAACACTCTTCTAAAATTAGTTAAAAACAGTTTCTATGTCATTGTTCATCATATAAAGCTGATGATTCAGATAAACTGAATCCTGCTGTTATAATGCTCTGTAACATACACTCACCGGCCACTTTATTAGGTACCCCATGCTAGTAACGGGTTGGACCCCCTTTTGCCTTCAGAACTGCCTCAATTCTTGGTGGCA